GATTTCATCTGTTCCCATGGACTGACATTAACCATATGCTGCCTCTTGTAATGTCTCTATCCCCAGCCCAAACTTCTCTCTGGAATCAAGACTCATAACAAATCTCTTGTCATCTCTACTTGGATATTTAATAGGCATCTTAAACTTAAGTCTTGAGTTCCCAACCCAACCTCCAAACTTGCGCCTCTCCCAGTCCTCCGTATCTCAGGAAAAGAACATGAGTATTCACACAACTTATACAACCAAAATCTAGGTTTAATCTTTGATTTCTGAACTCCCCTCACTCCAACTCATCAAAACATTCTCTCAACTCTACACTCCCAAACATATCTCAAATCCATCCACTTCTCTTTATATCTCCACTTCTACTTCCTTGGTCAAAGCCTCAACTGCTTAAGACCATGGTACTAGCCTCCTAATTAATACCTGCTTTCACTCTTGCTCATGCTAATACCCATTTCTCCATACAGCTTAAAATCCCCCAAAGGCTTCCTATATTACCTAAATCTCCCAGCTGATTATAAAGCCCTATAGGCTCTGGTCCCTTGTCTACCCCTCTCCTAATCTCTACTGTCTCTTCTCCCTCACCACCTCTCCCACTGGATCAGCAATACAGGCCTTTTTTGATTCTCAAATAGAAAATACTCTCCCCATCTCTAAGTGCTTATTATTATTTAGATCTGTTTAAATGTCACCTTATTCACAAAGGCCTTCTGTGACCAGTCAATTTAAAAGTAGCCACCCAGTCACGCACTATCACATTACCTTACCCTATTTCAATTTTCTACATAGTTCTTACCATTATCTAGCTTTTAAAATTTGTTTTTTGACTGATTTATTCCACTATAACGTATGCATCATGACAAGAGGACCTGACCATTAGTAAGTACTCAACAAATACTAAATAAACGAATCAACATGCAAACATGAGGGATCACTGACTTCACAGTTCACCAAAAGAATGTACTCAATTCATTCAAAAGATCTTTATTAAATGCCTACTGTGTACCAGGTGTATAAAGAAGAAATGTCTGCTAGAAACCCTACCAGGTTTCCCAGGTACTTCCCTATTTTTACCAATATGTCAAGAAACCTTAGTTTCACCTCTGCAATACAGCATTTCAATACATTAACTACTTAATGTTTTAATAATCTAGGAAACTTCTATAATAAGGCACTATCTCCAGCACAACTATATTAAAACACAATAAACCACAATAGGAACAATTCACTAATAAATAATGGCTAGCAAATACCATACACACAGAACAAGTACTAAAGCAGTATTTTATAGCCTAATCACCAACATTATACAGATAAACCACATAGTAAGGAATTTCTTTGCAGGTTACTACACAGCACACTACATATGCTGTCTATAGTAATTTAAACTACTGTATCTTTACAATTCTCTTATCAAAAACTTCCAATGTAGATACACAGTTTTGATGTCACTTATGTAGTAATATAATCATATTTCAGCTTGTGCATTTCAAATCTCATCTCAAGCTTACTGTTGTTGGGTTTTTTCTTTCTTCCTTCCCTGTTGCTGAAAGAACATAGTGGCAGGGGTTAGCAGACTGAAGGATTAAATCTGTATACCACATACACTTTATTATAATTTTCAGTGATACAATAAAATCTGCACTGTATTACCATAATCTCAATTTTTGTTCTTTAATCCACTTGTTCTCAATTAATAGGTTTAAGTAATGGCAAAACAAAAAACTAAGTGACTTTAGATCTGAGCTTAAAACTATGTGTACTCTATTTCCCTCTAAATGTCTACCACACCATCAACTTTTAGAATTTTTAAGAATTTTGTATGACTATCAGTCTAATTATTAGATATCTCAGAATGCTTTAATTATATCGATTACTTAAATTTCTCCTTTTCTTTACAGTAAGTCATGTATTTAAAATATAACTTCACACAATGAAGAATATTCTCTTTTAGCAATGGTCTCCCCACCCCACCTTCTTTTGTTTCTATATTGTTTGAATATTTTATAAGAGGAGGTGCATTATTATCTTAATAATAAAAAGACTGCTTTGCAGTGGTTAACACTAAAGGCAGTGTAATGTAATGGTCAAGGAAATGGTACAAAATGGCTAATAAATGTTCAAGTTTTGCTAGTTAAAAAAAGGGGAGGATTTTCAACGTTCAAAAACTAAAGCAAACAGGCACCTTAAAAACAAATCCTCTTGCTTCTTCCACTTTATAGTCTACAACAGTATAGCCCTAAGCTACAACTAGGTCAATAAGGCTTCCAGAACACCCAGACAAGGCCCTGTACCCTTCCAGTCCTGCCAAAGCTCACTAACCATTTACTTGTTCAACAAATAAATCACTCCCATCACCACTCTTATCTCTCAGTCCTTTCACTCATTTTTGCTCCAGCTCATCTCAAGCTCACAAGTTTCTATACTGGTCACTTCAAGTTAATTTCCTCAGTTCATTCTAATAAAAAATCAAACATGGACAAACCTTTGAACAGCCAAAATGGAGGTCTCAGAGACCAAAATCTGTTCATTTCATGTGGATCTCCCTAGAGGTCTCACTAAAATCTATTTTTTCGCTTTTATTAGATCTATTTCTAATATCCTTGATAACCTAATTTTCACAACAGATTAGAAACAGGATACTTAGAGCCACCCTGTATTAACATAATGTTCATTATTAATAGAAAAACCACTACAAAGATAAAATAGTTCTATCTTGAAAAACACTTCTGAAATTTAAATCCATTAAAATGAAAACACAAGTCATTTTAATGTATGATGGATTAAATGTTTTCATTTTTTGCCCCCCCAAGAGTGTTAGTTTATATATTTATATAAATAGCAACAAGGTTATATTTAGACAAAAAGCAACAAAAAGGTAAAAAAAACCCCTCTAACATTGAGCTTTCTGAAAACATACTTTTAGAAGTATATTTACAATTCATATAACTAACACATTGCTTGGACAATAAACTGGAAAATAGCCAATATAGTTAAGAATCTTTACAAATGCAATATTGGCTCTAAGATAATGTATAGTGTCTAAAGAATTATACAAATCTTATAGAACATAAATATTTCAGTGGAGCTGTATGCAGAAAGCCACTGAATAACTTCAATAAACCCACAGATTTAAAAAAAATTAATTGTTTCAATAATTCTGGATTTAATTTTGAATATTATAAGCTGGTTAAGTTCCTGCAGCACCAACATTTAAATACTACAAAGAACCAAAGTCAAATAGACATTTTATGAAGTTTTGTCCGCAAACATTAAACAGCTGCATTTTAAATTTCATTCTGTAACTTATTAGTACATACTAAGCAGTAAAAGAATATTCAAGAATTTGATTTCTATTGGTAATATCAATCCACAGGGTATTGTTAATGACTTTGAGGACACTGACGTTTCTCATCTATAACTGATACCTCCTGCACCTTTAAGAATTTATCACACAGCATACTTCTACACATAAAACCACTTTGTGCCACAATTCCAAAAAGGTTGGGAACTGCTTAAATAATGTTTATTAAATAAAAATGTAGAAAACTTTAGATTACATGAGACAGGTAAACATATACTATATCCTCACTCAAATGTATCCATTGATTAATAATTCCATTTACTGAGCACCAACTAAATACCATTTAATCTTCACATCTCTGCAAGGCAGGTACATAGCAAATAAGTCACAAAGCTACAAACGAAACTCAGGTCTATTAACACCAAAGGCCCCCCCCCCATCTCCACCAAAAATAAAATCACCTATTTTTTAAAATATAGATGAGCATTAAGTTGTTGGTTTCGATTTAGCATTATAACAATCTTAACGGTGTGGAGAACGAAAATCCCAGAATATAGATGAAAATTCCACAACATAAGCAATAAATTTACACTCATGGCATTTTTAGAACCTTGGCATAAAGTTGTACTGATTTCAACATAGTAGCTCTTTTTGCAGTCACAAATACAGAAGATGGCACGAGAATTTACCACGTGGACTTTTGAAGTGTTCAGGATTTAATTGCAGAAGAGATTCAAAGTTTTTATTTTCTTTTTTCTCCCTGAAATGCTATCATTCGGGGGGGTGGGAGGAAGATGCAGGATTCCAACTCCTATAATTCCAAGACTTCTAACACAGCGGATCCGTAAATCTGGAGTTGAGTTTGAGCCTGGATTCGAAGGGCTCTGATGTAAAAATGTTCACCACCAAGGCGGCTTCAAAATGCAATCTACGTAAGGGTGTGGATTCGGTGGCGGGAGAACTGCAGCCAAACGATTCAAGGTATATATACAAATAAAAGGGTTACCAATTCTGGGGGAAACGAGGGCACAGAATTCACCTTCCCCACCACTCACCCTACGGCAGACGAAACCGGACACCTTTTTAAAGAAAACATTCATTATCTCCTGTTAGCTTAGCGCCTAATTGAGTCCACTCTGGGGTAGTGGCGACGCCTACATCTCCCTCCCCGCAACTATGCACCCACACCAGAGTGCCCAGCTCCGCCGCCGAGGAAGCCCTGACACCCTCCTCCCCCACCCGCGCCCACCTCTGGCCCCATTAACCAGAACTCCTAGGCCGAGGCCTTCCGTACCCCGCGTGCGTATGCCCACGCCATCTATCTCCAGGCCTTCAGCGTCCGGCTACGGCTTCCCCTTACTTCTGCCACAAAGCCCGTGGACAACTCCGAAGGGACGGCCGCACGCCACTGGGGCTGGGACCCCGGGCCCTGCCCGCACCGGAGCCCTCGGGCCTCATCCAGGGCCCGGGGCCCGGAGCCCGAGCCCCACGCTCACCGCGCCCTCCCGGGTGCGCCGGGGGTTCTCACCACTCGGGCCCGCCGCCGGGCCCAGCTCATAGCTGAGGAGCGGGTCCCCGCCTGCGGAGAGGGGGGACCCCACGCACAGCCCCACCGCGTCGCCCCCGCCCCAGCGGACCCCTAGCACTCCCCGCCGCCGTACGCCGCCGCCCCCGCACTCCCCGCCTCTCGCACCGTCTCCTCTGGGTCGATGTCAATCTTGAAAGTCTGCTGCTGGAGGGTCTTCAGGGTGACCTGCATGGTGCCGACGCGCAGCTCCGATGCCAGGCCTGCTCCGGGTGCTGGCCGCTGGGCGGGGTCTGTGGCCTGGCGGGGCCCCGGGGTCGCCCGCGCTCCTCGTGCACTCGGGAGGAAGGCGGTGGGGGTGGGGGCTTGTCACATTCGCCCTGCGGAGCGGCCTCTTCCCCAGCACTGGCCCCAGGCCGGGCCGCTGTCTCCGCGACTGCGGCCTTCCCCGCGAGTTCGGGCCGCCGTGCTTCCTCACGCGCCCGGCGCCAGCCACTGAGTCTGCAAGAGGTGCGAGGGGCTCTTCGAGACAAGTAGAGAATCCGCTAGCTCACCACAGGATGGTGGCCGCCATCATCATGACTCGCCGAGACGCGCCCCCTCCCCCACCCGAAAAACCTGGGGGATGGGGCCGGACTGGCGAAGCGCGCAGGCGTAGGTTGCGGCGAGGCTGTGCGCAAGCGCGGCTAAGAACTCCGCCCCGGAATTGGGGCGGGACGGATTGAGGCTGTGGAACGCAGGCAGCCTGGATAGGATGTACGCAGGCGCAGTGATTGTGAGTCGGGGCTCTCGGTACTTCCTTGTCATATCTGCAAGCCGGCCGTTCTCCCGCCCGCCGCCGCTCCGCCTACTCCAGACTCCGCCTGGCTCCCTGAATTGCGCAATCGGTAGCCGGGGAAGCTCTACGTGGAAAACGGGTTAAGTGCATGCCGAGTTCTGGAGCTGGGGAACTAGAGGGCGGTAGGTCGGGCGGGGCTTAAGTGAAAGGGTCGTGGTCACCACAGTAGTGGGCCGGCATTTACAGGGCGCTTGCTGTGTAGCTGAGCTTTTGTATGGGCGACTGATTCTGTAATCTTCAGAGCACAGACTCACGCTAGCGCTGTACTGCCCGTGTGGACCTTGAACCTAAATACAGGGGCCAATAATACGAGGTCGAGTTGTATCACTTCTTTGGGCAGAGCTTTCCATTGGTTCTTCTTCTCTTCGTAGAAGTCAGAGTTCTTAGATCTGAATATACAGCTCCTGCCTGTCATCATAGCTTACTCTCCCGGCTTGCTCTTGGCGGTGTTGGTGGACACGACGCATATGCTCCCGCCTGTGGGCCTTGCACTCGCTGTTCCCGTGTCCTCTTTCCCGATGTCTGGGTGGCTAGCTGTCCCTCCTTCGAATCTTCGACCAAATGTCACCACCTCCGTGAGGTGTGTCCTGCATACCCGACTTAAAACCCACAACTTCCCTTGCTTCATTATCCTGCTTTGCTTTATAGCATTTATCATCTTTGAATTATCCTATAATGTAGTACATCTTTATTATGTTTTTCATCTTCCTTCCTCACCTCTAAACCCTAAACTGAAGCTTCACAAAGGCAAAAGTTTTGTTTTGTTAACCTAGCGTGAAGAAACATGCCTGGCACATAATAGGCACACAATAAATATTTGTGGACTTGGTGAATATACTTCCGATTCCTCATCAATAAGACTTGGATAATAATAGCTTTCAACTTTATTGATTATTGGGGGTGGGGTGGTGGTGAATAATATATGCAAAATCATAGTATAAGGAACATAAGCAGTCCATAAGAAGTTCACTATTGGGCCGGCCGAGTGGTGCATTGGTGCGTTGGAGAGCCAGCTCTGAGCAGCAGGGCCCCGGTTCAGATCCCACATGAGGGCCAGTGATGCTGCGCCCTCTACAGCTGGGATGGTGAATGGCACCTGGACTTGGAGCTGAGCTGCCCGGCGCAGGCGACAGCGTAGGCTGTAGTGGGTTGCTGTGGGCTGCCGTGAGTGGCTGGCGGCTGGTGTGAGTGGCTGGCAGCTGGCATGAGGGATGAGCTGCTGTGAGCCGCTGTGGGTGGCTGCCCAATGGCCGGCGAGCCACGGCCTCACCCGGGAAGAGCACAATGATAATACCAACATGGGCCAGTGAAGTGACGTCCTCCACAACTAGACTGAAGAACAAAAAGGACAGCAACTTGTCTGTTCCCCTTCCCCGAATCCCCAACGCTGTTCCCCTCCCCCAATTCCCCAATAAAATCTTAAATTAAAAAAAATTGCTATTAATAGTAAGCCCATTTACAGATAAGAAAGCTGAAATAATAGAGATGTTGAGTAATGTGCTTAGAGACAGAGCTCAAATTCAAGCAGAATGGCTCCAGAGCTGTTGCCAGGTGTCTGCCTGGCTATTCTGCATCCTTAATAAGGCACATTAAGGCACACACACCCTGTGGCACATTTGACTTTAAGTGGTTCAATTATAAAGCAAAGTTACACTTAGACCACTAGCTATGAGACCAGTTGCAAACTATTCCTGTGGGCCAGCGTCCTTACTGATACAAAGTCACTGCTTGGTGCTCCGTGGGTATTAGAAGTTCAGATATAATTCTTCTGTGGAACCTTCCCTGACCAACCTCCCTGTTCACTAACGTATTTCCGCTTCACAGCAAGTATCTACCTGTATTGTAATCCAATATCTAACCTTCTGCCCTCTGTCTTCCTGTATCTCTACTGTTAGTCACCAGGTGGTCTCATCTTGTCCCTTGGTTTGAAATGCCTCCAGCTTGGACTTCTCCCCACTTAGCTATAAATAGAGTTAGCCAATTGCCTATGCAGTATTTTCACTTGAACTATGACAAGCCTCTGAAACTTAATACAGCCAAACTGAACCATTTATTTCGCTCTGGACCTCACTTCCCCCTGACATCTGCTTTCCCCCAGGTTTTCCCCATCTTAGTTCAAGGCACCACCATCTTACCCAGGTACTCAGACCAAAAATCTAGTCATCATCCCTGATGGGTAGGTCTCTTTCCTCCTTTCCTCCCTGTCAGCCACCACATTCAATCCATTATCAAGTGCTGCCAACTGTATTCTCCAAACCATATCCCCAAATTCACCCATTTCTCATCATTTCTACTACTACCCTAGGCTAATCTATCATTATCCTTCACCTGCCTCCCAACTGGTCTCTCCACTCCCACTCTTTCCCCGCAACAGCCTTCCCAGCAGTCAGAGCGGTCTTTTCCAACCATAAATCAAATCACGTCACACCTCTTCTTAGTCCCTAATTATACTTTAGAATAAAATTCAAACTTTTTACCTAGCCTTGGAGCGTTCATATGATCTGACTCCTGCCAAATTATCTGGCCTCATCTCCTTTCTTTCTCCCCCTCATTCACTGTCATACCTCTGCCCCATTGTTCTTTCATCCCTCAATCTGGCAAAGCTGGTTCTAGCCTCAGGGCCTTTGCAGTCAAGATTACCTCAGCTTGAAATTCAAGTCTTCCCGTATCTTTAAATAGCTAACTCCTTTGCATCATTCACAGTCCAAGTAGAATTTTAACTTCCTTAGAGAGGACATCAATAACTTTTATAATAAATGTATATTCCTTTACTCTAGGCAAGGCACTCTTCTAGGCACTTTACATAGATAATCTCATTTGAGCCCCACAAAGCTCCATGAAACAGGTACGACATTACCCTGGTTTAAATTTTTTTCATGGATCTACCTGAAATTATTAATTTTTTAACTTGCTTATTGTCTATCTCACAATACTACCCACTTCCCATGTCTGCATCTTGGGGAAAGGAACTCTTCCGCCTTATTAACTGCTCTTTCCCCAGCACCTAGAACAGTGCCTGGAACACAGTAGATGTTCAATAGTGTACGTTGACTGACTCCCAACACAATTGTAAGCTCTATGAGGCCAAGTGTTGTGTGAGTCTTGTTCATAATGGTATCTTCAGAGTCAGGCACAATGTGGATGTTCACATACGTTGATTGAAAAAATGGTGAAGTCACTGCAGTTAAAATTGACAACAGTTGTAAGAAAATGTGAAAACATTTTAAAAACTAGAATATGCTGTATAGAATTATAACATTTGCACATTTTTTGCTACAACTACTATTGTCTGCAGGAGAAAAAGGGGGAGGTGAGAGATGCCTCTCCCCATATTAGTGTGTGTTTTTAAAAAAGTAATCTTTTGCTCATGGCAAAAAAAAATAGCAGTATAGAAAGGGAGCGATTGAATATAAAAATCTTCCTCCCCATTTACAGAACTAAGCATTGTTTTGAGTGTCTTCAGACATTTTATAGATATATACAGGAATATATCCCCCCAAATAGTTGTGACAACAGTAGATTTTAAATGTCAGTTAATTGAAAGAGTCACCTGATAACATTTTCTAAAGTACAGTGTTAAGGTAAAAAGTTGGTTTTGTTTTCTTTGAACTTCTGGAAAAACTATCCAGACATACCCACCCTTGGCCCCACAGCACAGGTTGGACAGCCTGACTATGCCTCCTTGTAATATGTAGTTGCCTTTACCCAGAGCGCCACTGTTCACATGACAGATGACAGGACCCCCCCACTCCCACCCCCACCTCCTCCAATGCAAAGACCACCAAGTTGAGGGCATTTGTGAGCAAGGCCATGTAGGATAGGACTTGGGCTTCCTCAAGAGTTATTGGGCGCAGATAAAAAGAGGAAGGGAGTCATTGATTCCAAATACTTGGGAACAAGCCAGGGGATTTGGCTTGTATTTTTAGAAATCAGTCAAATGATTTCAAGGAAGAGAATGAGCCAGCAGAGATGCAGCATCTGCTGACTTAGAAAATACCAGGGTAAAAATACCAGACTTCAAACCACTCATTCAGCAAATAGTTAATGAGACTGTCCATGCCAGGGACTGTTCAGGGTGTTGGGGATACAACAGAGAACAAAACGAAGTCCTTGCCCTCATGGAGTTTATATTCTAGTGGGATAATAGGTGAACAGATAAAAAACTAAAAGATATTTACAGTAGACCAGGTGATGATAAGTGCTGTTTTAAAAAGCACATGAAAAGGATCAACAGTGCACACACACAAAAAAGAGTTGCTACAGAGAATGTGCCAGAGAGCGTTCATCCCTTTTCCTCCATCATCCTTTGTGCCCTCTTCACCCAGCAGTTGGCCCCAAGGAGGCTGACCTATACGGATTACAGCAGTTGGCTTCCCAGGGATTCCCAGTAGGAGATGGCAGTGAGGGAGGAGAGTGAAGATAGGCACTTCATTCCTCTTTGTGGTTGACAGTGGTCTTGATACAAGGTCATTGCTTCTGTAGGTGATTCTTTCCTTCCAGGTGCTGGTAACTGCTCCCTATCTTGCTCCTTCATGTCTAGCAGACCTTTATTTCTCACTCCAGGGTACTGTAGTCTCCCTGTACTGTACTCTCCCCTATCTTGTTGTAAAGAGTCCCTTTATTGCATCTTCCTGGAATAGACCCGTATTAGTTTCATAGGGCTGCTGTAACAAAGTACCACAAACTGTGGCTTAAAACAATTGAAATTTATTGTTTCACAGCTCTGGTGGGTAGAAGTTCCAAATTAAGGCATTGGCAGGGCTATTCTCCCTCTAAAATCTGTCAAGGAGACTCCTTC